AGATAAAATCATAACACTTGGAATCAAGACAGGCTTCCATCCTGGCTCCAGTGTTTATTAGCTTTGTGATCTGCAGCAATTTGCCTGGTAAAATAGGGCAATAACATCTACCTCATAATCATGTTATGAGCACTGAATACAGTAGTAAGCTATGAATTACTGCTTATTGAGCATCACTGTATACCAGCCTTTTAAAATGTACTATTGCCTTTTAAATACACTATCATACTGAACTGTAACAAAAGCCTCATAAGGTAGCTATTATTAGTATATTGCATGTAAGGAAACCAGAGCCCAGAGAGGTGAAGTAATTTGCCCAAGGTCACAGATCTCTTAAGTAGCAGAGCTAGCAGGAAACCTGGGTCTTTTCTACTCTAAGATCAATGCCAGTTCCTCCCACATTCACCACTCCCAGTCCTTTTGTTTTTCTCTCAAAGAGGGTAGTGCTTACACTGGGCTTAGGCAACACCCCAGAATAAACCTGAGACCAGCTCCACTGCAGGCCCCAGCCTAGACTCTGCAGAAAGAGGATCAGGAATTACTGACTCAAAACCGCAGCCGATTGTTCACAGACGTCTGAAAGCTCCCATCTCCCACTTCCTCTGCAATAGATAACAACAGCTATTTTAGTCCAAAATGCCACTGGCATAAACACATGAAGATAAATCTCAACTGATAAAAACGCCTTATAAAGTAACGGTCAAGGACTTTCTAAAACCCCATACCCTGCTGTAGCCCGCTGGGACCCCCACTTTGCAGACTCCCAGCCAAAGAAAGGAGAGGAAAAAGAAAAGGAGACAGACGGAAGATAGATACCACATACAGTAGGGGAATAATTAGAGCTTTCAGCACCAGAAGCTGAACAGGTATTTAAGACCAGGAATGACTAATTAAATATTGGATATCTTTAATTATTTGCATCAGGGTTCACAGTCTAATTTCTCTCTCTGAACCCCAATTTTTCAGTGAAGTCTAATATACCTACAAATATTAACTAACCCTTTTTAAGGGCTTATTATGTGTCTGGAACTGTCTTGGGAATTTCCACAAATGTACCCATTTAACTCCCATAGTGACTTAATTATTATCCCAATTTTCCAGGTGAGGAAACTGAGGCACAGAGAAATTCAGTAAGTTGCCCAAGGTCCCAGAGCTCATAAGTGATGGTCCCAGACAGTCTGACCTCAGAGTCCTCGATCTTAACCAGCAAATGCTCCACGCTGCCTCTCAGACACTGGGCACGGGTGGGCGGTGAGGGGTGCATCCAAATCAAAGAGGGAGCTGAAAGTCAGGTCTTGGTTTACATAGCACAGAAAGGTCGGGCTCAAGCTGGAAATGACCTTGCAAATGTCAAGAATATTCAGAAATCTGGGGAAGGGAGTTGGACTGCTCAGAGAATGGAATGAGGTTTCAAGCTAATTTTATCTGGATCTCAAGAGTTCTGGAGCTGTTATCTGTATTTCTGAAGGACTTCACCACTTCCTCTCCCTTAGATCTCTCCTGGGGGGGGTCAGTCCTGCTGTGATGGGCTTGGCATCCTCTGGTCCCTTCGCAGCTAGTCTCCTGCCTTCCAGTCCCCCTTTAAGGGCCCAGTTCTATGATACCCTTGTCCTTGCATGGTTGGGTTGGGATTTAAAGGGATTAATCTCACTTCCTCACTGCCCCCAAGGAAAAATGCACCTAGAACTATAAATACAGAAATCAGATGGAGGATACACTAGCAGTTTTGTTATTGGTACTGCCTTTTTGAAGAGCATGGCTGGTCCTCCCTGGCTAAATGGACTCCTGCGACTTCCCCCCTTAGGTCTAACCCAATAGAACTTTGAATGATGACGCAAATGTCCTGCATCCGTGCTGTCCAGTAGGTAGCCACAAGCCACGTGGGACCATTGAGCAGTTGAAATGTGTCTAGTGCCACTAAAGAAGTGAATATTATACTTGTGCTTATTTTAATTTAAATAGCTGTATATGGCTAGTAGCTACTGTATCAGACAACGCAAGTCTAGACTTTATATCTCACCCCACAAAGAAGAGTCAGATACCCACGACAGCAAGATTGGAAATACTAATGGACTCTGTATTATAATAGTTTTCTATTGTTGCTGTAAAAAAATTACCACGAACTTCATGGCTTAAAGCAACCCAAATTTATTATCTTCTAGGTCTGGATGTCAGAAATCCCACAGGAATTAATGGGCTAAAACCATGGTGCTATAGGGCTGTGCTCCCTTCTGAGGGCTCTAGGCAAGAATCATTCCTTCCTCCCTGGGCTCATGGCCCCCTCTTCCACCTTCCAAGCCAGCCGCACAGCGTCTTCAAGTCTCTCTCTGTTTTCCTTCTCACATCACCTTCCCTCTTATGAGGACCCTTGTGATTACCTTGGCCCCACCAAGATAACTCAGGATAAGCTTCACATCTCAAGACCCTTAATCATGTCTGCAAAGTCTTTTTTCATATAAGGTGACATACTCAGAGGTTCTAGAGAATAAGTCCCTTGACTTTCCCTCCTAGTTTGTGGCCTTGGCCTCTTTGTGGGACTTTGCCTTGGGCAGTGAGGAGTGCTAGGCAGAGACATGGACATTTGGGGGGGTTGGACCACACAGTCCAATAGGGGCCAGCATGAGAAAGGCTTTCATATCTGCTTCTAATACCTGCCTCTGGACCATGGGGTGGGTGGGATGGAGTTGGAGGAGAATTCAGGGCCTGCACGATGCTCTACTCTAAGGGGTACCATTTGTTCTCGCTTTGTAAATGGTACCATACAGAGTTTTGCAGTGCACTACCTGAGCAGCTGTCTCTGGGGGCTCTAGGAGAAAACCTGTATCCTGCAAACAGGCCATCATGAGAGGAGAAAGAGGTGAGCACACACATCCAGTTCTTTCTCTTGGTTTGGCCAGTCCGTTTAGGCCCTCCCCACCCTTGGAGGAAGATTCAGTGAGCAAAAGATAGGAAGTGCTTTCATTTCTTGGAAAGTGCACAGTTTCTTCATGGAAACAAACAAATAGGGGAAGAATTTTCTCCTGAAGGACCATCTGAGTCAAAGCATCCAGCTTCAAGTTGGCTGGAGAAAAGATTCCTCCCCACATCACAACACATACCCAACACCCCCACCCCACCGCCGCCACCAAATGCTCCCAGGACTGACGCAGCCGGAAGACTGCTAAGACCCAAAGTCCTTCACCAGCTAAGATCACTCCTTACAACTGGCCCACAAAAATGTCCTATGGGGCTGCTGGGGAGGGCTGAGTGAAATCAGCATTCCTTACATCTCTCTCTGCCTTAGTTCAGTTATCCGTACCCCTCCTCCCTTAAAGAAGATGATCTGTAATTTTAGCCACAAGTTTCCCCACTACCTGGGGCCTTAACAAACAGAATTCCTCTGGCTCCATCCCCACACAGTCAGGGAAGTTCCAGCTCCCATCAGATTCTTGCCAATGAGTTCAAAGGAGTCCCAGGGAGACCTTGAGTGTGTTCACTGATGTCCCCTTCCAGCCACCAGGCAGCAGCAGCCCCTGTCTTTCTCTCTGGCCCCAGCAATGACTCCTCCTGCCATTCTTTTTTTTTTTTTTTTTTTGAGACAGAGTCTCACTTTGTTGCCCAGGCTAGAGTGAGTGCCGTGGCGTCAGCCTAGCTCACAGCAACCTCAATCTCCTGGACTCAAGCGATCCTGCTGCCTCAGCCTCCCGAGTAGCTGGGACTACAGGCATGCACCACCATGCCCAGCTAATTTTTTTTTGTATATATATTAGTTGGCCAATTAATTTCTTTCTCTTTATAGTAGAGACGGGGTCTCGCCCTTGCTCAGGTTGGTTTCGAACTCCTGAACTCAAACGATCCGCCCGCCTCGGCCTCCCAGAGAGCTAGGATTTCTCCTGCCATTCTTGACATCCAGGTGCCTCACATCCTGCCCAGGTTTGCTCAGCCCACAGCTTGACTCTCTCTTCATTCCAGCCCCTCTGAGAGACCTGGAGCCGCCAGGGTCTGACAAGGGTCACTGACATGGTTCCCTTGACTTTCCCTCCTAGTTTGTGGCCTTGGTCTCTTTGTGGGACTTTGCCTTGGACAGTGAGGAGTGCTAGGCAGAGAAAACACAGAGATGACATGCATGTGACTTGAGGACAAGGAGAGGGCAGCCTTAGTAGGGTGGGCAAGACGTCTTCTCTGAGGAATAGGAGTTGAGCTAAGATCTGAATGGTGAGGAGAGGCAGCCACGGAAAGGGGTTGGGCAAGGGAGTTCCAGGCAGAAGGAAAAGGTTGTACAAAAACTCCGAAGCCTGGACAGGCTGGTCTTTGTCTGAGGAACAGAACGGAGAGCAGTGTGACTGGAGCTGAGTGAGCAAGGGCGAGAGTGTCGGCAGACAAGGCTGGAAAGTAGAAAGGGTCAGATCAAGTAGGGCTTTGTCCATCATGGGGAGACACTTGAATGACTGCTGACTACTGGGGCTCTGATGGGGGCGGCTGACTGAGGTGGAGCAGTGGGAGGGGTAAGGAGCAGGCTTAGGAAGGGACGTGAGGTGGAATCAAAAGTTCTGTCCAAAGGAGACAACAGAGGCTGGCTGTCAGGAGACCTGACACTTTGGATCATTTGCGCACTAAAAAAGAGGTCTTGAGCAGGATCGCACACCGTCTGCCCTGCCGGCCCTCTCTGCGTGGCTAACTAGCAGTCTGGACGCAAAAACAGAATGAATCTCACAGACATGCTGACAGATGAAATTCTCACTGAGTTCATTAACCGCACCCTCTCGCCAAGTCCGCTACCAAACCACATCCAGAACATCAAATCAACCATAACTAAAATCGGATGGTCCTGTGCTTCTGAAACTCTTCTGATGGCCTCTCACTGCACCTGAGAACCACACTCATCCTCCTTATCTGGGTGTTAAAGGAGCACCAGCCCCTGTATCAGGCACATCCCCAATCTCAGCGGCCAAACCCAAGAGAGGTTTGTTTCTCACGGACATAAAATCTGAACAGGTGATCCTGATCAAGGGGCAGCTCACCTCCACATTGCGATACAGAAATTCATGCTCCTTCTGTGTTATGGCTCCACCATCTTACACATTTGGCTTCTAAGGGCACCATATTGAAGAAAGAGCATGGAGTACCAGGCTCGGGAAGTGCCATTGGCTAGAACTCAGTCACATGGCCACTGGCTGCAAGGAAGGCTGGGAAATGTAGTCCAGCTGTGTGTCCAGGCAGAGGAAGAGGACAACATGTGATGCGCTCTGCCCTCCATTCCTATGAAGTCACTCACCGCCTGGCCCTTGTCTACAACTTCAACTTTCTCTCCTACCTTTTTCTCTCTGCCTCAGCCTTCTTTCTGTCTCTTGAATGCCAAAACCCAAACATCCTGAGCTCCTTCCTGATTCAGAACCTTTGTACTAACTTCTCCTTTGCCTAGGAGGCTCTTCCCTGGATCTCTCAAGGGCTGAATTCTTTTCATCCAGAAGACCTGCACATGAAGATCACCTCCCAGCCCTACCAGACCCACGCACCCTATCATTTTCCTATTACCTTTACCCGACTTTGTTTTTCTTCACACCAGTTCCTACTATTCAAAACTTTATTATTTACTTGGCCATTTATTACCTCTCCTCCCTATTAAAAATGCCAATGTCAAGAGTACAGGAACCTTAATTGTATGGTTCTCTGCTGTATTCTCTACCAGAACACCTGGTAGGAGCTCCAGTACGGTGTGTTGAACGAAAGAATGATGGTCACCAGGAATGCAGCCTCTATCAACAGCTCACCTTGGGAGTTTCAAGGCAGCCTGGAGCAGGGGTCAAAGAAAGAGTTTTGCAACCAAGGAGCTTAGAGTCACATGTCACTTCTACATGGCCTGGGATGGTAAGTTTACTCACCTCTCAGGTCCTCAGTTGCCTTAGCTGTAAATTGCAATTTTGCTGACCATGATTGTTGTGAAAATTAGGAATAATGTCTCTAAGATGCCTGAGACTTCTTTGGTGCTCAAATAAACATTAGCTGCCTGCAATGGCAAGTGTAGAGCACTGTTACTATTTTAACATGGCCCTTTTGAAGAGGGCCATGTCAGCCACTGGGTTGGTGACTGTCTTGAGTGATAATATTGTGGTCATAAGAGAGGGACTGCTATTATTCCCATTGTATAAATGAATAGGGTTGCCACATTTAGCAAATACAAATGGAGGATACATACTGAAATTTGAATTTTAAATAAACTGTGAATAAATTTTCAGTGTAAGTGTATCCTATGCAGTATTTGACACATACTAATACTTTTTAAAAAATGAAGTACAATGAAGGAACTGAGTTTGACAATGAAATACATATTTCACACCTAAGAGATTCCAGGCACAACCTGTAAACAAAGATAATAAGGCCTAATCTTGGCCCTTGAGGAATGCCTACTCATTGCCCTGACAGCATTATGTGGCAATCTTTCTGGAGGAAATTAGGCAATGAATATCGAAGGGCTTAAAAATGTTCTTATGCTTTGACCTAGAAATTCCACTTTATACATCTTTCTGATATATTAGCTAATTTTGTAAGTTCTTAACATTTGTCTTTTTTTTTTTTTTGCACAGCAGACTACAATTGCGAAACATTAATATTTACATCAAGACAAGCAAAAATGAAATTATATGGACTAATGTCCTTTTGGCGATGATTGGGAACTGTTACGGATTGAATTGTGTTCCTCCCACCCCGCCAAAAAAATTATGTTAAAGGCCTAACTAACCTCCGTGCAAACAGCTAAAGAGAGGAACTCAGGCATCTGAGAATGAAAAGCATTCCCGTCCCACAAAACCTAAGCGTTCCCTTTTTTTTTTGATACAGGTATACCCCTGCCAGGTTAATAACTAATAGCTAATAAAAAAAAAAAGTTTGTAAAGCTCTCTGCAAATTTGATAAAAGGGATTGTAAAAGTCCTTGCCAAGGTGGAGCACTACGTAAATGTTCAGTAACAAGAGTCCTCACTGGACAGCATTCTATAAACTCACTCCGAGTCTCAGGCCTCGGGCCAAGAAACGCCTGTTTCACGTCAGCGTCTCCCGCGGGCCCTGCCTTCCTTCCTCCCTAAGGCTGAGCCATCTCCTTCCAAAAACTCGCCCCATGGCTTGAGTTCTTTGCAGCCTGCCCTGCCTGTTGTCCACAAAACTCCTGCGGGACACAGGGAGAAGCAGGTCAGGAGAGAAAAACATTCCCGAAGGCCGGGAAGGAGGAGAGTTTTGAGTCCCCATCAACCATCACCGTCACTGTCACCATCGCTATTGTCAGCCCCTCCGTCAGGAGATTTTATTGAGTGCCTACTATGTACCAGATGCTGCGGACACAGTGTGAGCAACACTGAGGTTTCTGCCCCCGCGGAACTTCCATCCTAATGGGAGAAAGACCATCGGAAACCGCAGATCATGTCAGACGATGGTAAACGTTGTGAACGAGACGAAACAGGGAGGTGTGGCAGAGAAACCCGGGTGAACTAAGCAGATGGATGAGGAGAGGAGTGGAAGCACCGTTGCGGGCGAGAGCCACGTGGTAAGAAGAGCCGTGAGCCTGAAGACCCGGGAGGACGGTTCTCCCGGCAGAGGGGACAGCACAGGCGAAGGCTCTGAGGCGGGAACGGGCTTGCCACGTTGAGGGGCCGGAGGAAGATCAGTGCGTCCGGACTGTGGGCAGCAAACTGCAGGGAGAGGACGGGAGGGAGAGGCGGGGCCAGATCCCCAAGGGCTCACAGGCTGTGATGGGGAGACCGGATTTTCTCAGAGCTGGTATTTATGGAGCACCTATTATGTTCCAGGTGTTTTACAGGCACACCGTTTAAATCCTCTTGATAAGCACGCGTGGTGGATGCAATGACGTCCATGTTATAGATGAGAACGGCAGGGCATCGAGAGGTTCCAGGGTGTGTTTTATATCCCACCGCAAATGGCTGGAACGTACAGCCACATCCGTCAGACTCAAAGCCCATGCAGCTCCCTACTATGCACGCGTGGTAGAAGGGCAGGAGCTTAGCAGTGACAGTGCCTCTGTGTGTCCCCTCCCCTCCCTTCCCTCACCCCGCCACGGCCCTGATCTTTCCTCCAAACATCCTTAGTGTGTCAACAACCTGAGTGCCGGGTAAGACAGCCTCCCCAGAACCCCCCGTGACACTCAGAGCCCAGGACCTTGCATCAAGAAGCAATGTTAGAGGGAAACCTTCCTTCTCCTCCAGATGTTTCTTTCCATGCACTGGCAGGAGCTCTCCTGCCATAACACTCTGAGCTTCTCTCTCAGCCCTTCTCTCACCCCCCACCCCAGGGAAGAAGGGTGCACTTAACTGATTGGTGAGGTTGAAAGGAAGTCCTTCTCTTCCTCCCCTCCCTCCCTTTCCCTTCACTCCTTTTCCTCTTGGCACCATGTTGCCCAAGCAGCCTTCTCTGCTCTCCTGTCTCCTGCTGATAGTGTCCTAGGAGCAGGCTCTGCCCTCGCTGGGGTAGGTGGCCCAAAGCTGCCTCTAGCTGTGGGTAAGTCTGTCTGTGCCAGGGTTAGTATTAGCACACCCACTAGCCCGCAATCTGATCCACAGCCAACTCACCACCCGCAGCCTTTAGAGGAACAAATAGTGCAGAGAAACACTTTGTAGGGGGAAGATTAATGTTCAAGGGTGTGATGCCATTATTAGGCACCCACTGCATGCCATCAGGAACTGTGGGCCTCTGCTTAAGTCCCCTGAGCCTGTGGTTTGCACATTGGTAACAGTTGAGTTAATCAGCTGAGCCTGGCTGACCTCCCCAGGGTACCATGAGAACCAGCAGAAACAAGACAGTGAATGGCAAGGTGGTCCATGAACCACAAAGCCCTGTTAATTATGGTGGAGAGAAGAAGTCATGATTAATACACAAATACGGACACCCCTGGAGTACAGGTAGAATCTCCGAACCAGGAGAAGAGAGTATGAGGAGGAGATGGCCCAGGAGGGGCAGGCAGAGAGCTGCCTTTCATCAGTACTCAGCAGAAGGGCAGGGGCCCTGGAGTTAGAGAGGGCTGGGCCGGAATCTTGGCAGCCCCATTTGCCAGCTGTGACTCTGGCAAGCTACTACTAACCTTTGGGCCTAAATTCTACTCAGTTTCCTCATCTGTGAAATGGGTGGGAATTTCTTAATATGGCAGGCTAGTTGGCCAACCTTTCTAGATATGGAAACTCTCCATATCTCCATACCTCATAAAATGAGCCTGTAACCTGCAGGGAAATCTGGAGAAGCAAATGAGCAAAACCACCAGCCTCCTTCATCCTGCTCAGACTCAGACAAGAGTAAGAAGAAAGGGTGGCCTGGCCAGTTCACACAGACACCCACGTGACATATGCATGCTTGCAGATGTAAACATACAAACCTTGACTGTCACCACTTGGTTACTTGCTTATCTCCCCCCACCCTACCCCTCAAGAGTATAACCTTTCCTAGGGTCTCCAATGCCTGGCACCTTTCTTGCCATGCAGTGAGCACTCCTTAAATGTTTGTTGAATCAACTCATTTTTATAGAATGAGGCATTAATCAACAATGATTGATACAGACTTATAGGACCAAGGTTTCAATCCTGGCTCTTACTGGCTAACTTTGTAACCTATCTAGGCCTCATTGTCTCGTCTATAAAATGAGTAAATTCAAAGTAAAAACTCTTATGCATGTTGGTGGGAAGGTAAATGATTTGCAGACATTTCAGAAAAATCTGTCAGCCTTGAATGAAATTAAAAGTGCATATGTGCTCTTGGATACATATCCCAAAGAAATTCTCTTTCCCCACAGTTTATGGTAATGGTTTATGGAAATGGGAGATGCTAGGAAAAATAACAAAGTTCAAGTTAAGTGTAATGAATGTGGTCTACGGAATGCAATGGAGCAAAAAGAAGTACTAAACTATATATGCACAGAGCAACCTGGGTAGGTTTCAAAGGTGCAGTATTGACATGTAAGACAAGCAAGCAGTACAGAAACACATTAAAAGACATACAACCTCTCAAGATAAGAAAAAATGCAAATTAAATCTATATTGAGATACTATTTCTCATCTATTAGATTTTTAAAAGTATAAAAATTCACCTTCACTC